GCCCACACCTAAAAACACCATAGTAAAATTGCTAAAATACAAAAACAAAACATTCTGAAGCAGCAAGGGATGCTAAGAGGTGGTGGTTCTGAAGGAACAAGAGTGACAGCTGAGTTCTTACAAACAATCAAAAAACAAAATAATATATGCTAGAAACTGGAATGTCGCCTATAGAATGCTGAAAAAAGATGACTGACAATCTTGAATTCTTTACAGAGAAAACATATGAACAAAATGAAAGCAAAATAAATTTGTCTAGAATGACAAAAACAGAAAACTACATGTTTTTTTTTTTTTTTAAAAAAGCAGGATTTACTGAGAGGACAGAAAAACTTCCACAGTTGGAAGGGACCCGAAGGGGTTGCCCTACATGGTATTCTAAAGGAAGTTCTTTAGGAACAAGGAACACAAATCCAGGTAAAACCACAGAAATGAGGAAAACAATACACAGCAACAGAAAGGGTTAATATATGAAAAATAAATAGTGAGCGAATAAAATTAGCTATAATGATGTCTTATGATTTTAAAAAATATGCACAGAAAATATTTAAAAATAACACAAAAGACAATGGGGGTAAATGTAGTTAAAATGTTCCAAGGTTTTTGCATATAAGTAATAATTTGCTTTAGACTCAATGATGTAAAAAAGAAATGTTGGAATCATTAAGATAATTTAAAAGAATGTATAACAAGCTAATAAAGGGAAATAATGGATTAACAATTTTTGATTATTCCAAAAGAAGGCAAGAATGGAAAGAAATTGGAATATAGAACAAATAGGACAAGAGAAAGCAAATTGTAAGGGAATAGATTTAAACCCAAATATATCTGAGTTACATTAAGTAGAAAAAAACTAAATACTTCAATTAAAATACAAATATTGACTGGATTAAAAAAATGTTATATACTGCTTATAGGCAACACACTTTAAATACAAAGTCACAAAATGCTTGAAAGTAATAGGATGGGAGAAGTTATATCCAAAAATAATAATAAAAAGAAAATTGGCACAGATATAATAATATCACATGAAGTAGATTTTAAAGTAAGAAGCCTCACTAGTATAAAATGAGACATTTAATAATGATAGAAGAATCAACATAAAAGAGAGCTTAAGACTCATATGCAGCTAATAACCCAAGAAGAGGTAGAAAATATAAACAAAATAATAACCATTGGAGAGGTTAGAGATGTAATTTAAAACAAGATAAAAGAATCAATATAAAAGAGAACTTAAAACTCATATGCAGCTAATAACCCAAGAAGAGCTAGAAAACATAAATAAAATAATACCCATTGGAGAGGTTAGAGATATAATTTAAAACATCAACTAAAAAGGCACCAGGGTAAGAGAGATTTAGAGCCAAGTTCTATATAACTTTAAAAAAATATATAATTTCTACTTTAGCTAGGACCTTAGGAAAAAATAGAAACCTCTCAGAATTATTTAATAAAGCTAGACAAATCTTATAAGAATAATAAACCAACCAACTTTGTCATCCAAATTCAATATTCCAGGAATGAATGGGCAGTTCAGTATTTGAAAATTTATCAAGAAAACAGAATATATTGGTAAGTTGAAGGAAAAAAAAACTATACCAATAGATGCTGAAAGGGCTTTAATCTTTGGTAGAAGAAAACAAGTTAGACCATATAAAAGATACACGTAGATTTTTGATAAACTAAGGAACTAAACTGAAACGCACACTCACACAAAGCAAACAAACAAAAACTAAACCCAAAGTCACACACAACAGAACCGATAGGAGAAAACTCAGAAGAATATTGGTGTTGAGCTTCTGAAGGTCCTTCATTAGCACTGACTTTTTATTTTTTTACATTCCTCCCCCTCCTTGGGGTACACATCTCAAGAGACTTTTAATATAGAGTCTATGAAACTTTTGGTTTTTTTTTAATCTGCTTTCTACTTGTCTACCTTCCTCATCTGCCTACCACACTGTGAGAAATCTTTTAATGCACATCTTATTCATCTCAGTCTATACAGTGCCAATCATATAGTAGATAGACATTTCAAGTTTCTTGGCCACACGGATGAATGATATCCATCTAGCACTTCCACAACCATTCCAGGCTGCCTGCTTTCTGTGTTGATAGTCAGAAAAAGCCAGAGGCAGACTGTATTTTAGGCAGTAGAAAGAGCATGGGCTTTGGAGTCAGGTTGACTTATACCGATTCTAGGTTATGAGTGTGTCATCCTGTGCAACTTACATCTTGACAGATGAATTGCTTTAAGGTGCTTTGTACACTATTGGGTCTGTAGTTGGTGCTCAGAAACTGTTAGCCTTACTACTGGTGACATTATGAAGCTTGGCTGAGATGCAGAAATTGACGTGGCCGAGGGTAAAAGATGGGCAATCCTTCCATTGGCTGTCTCACCAATGGGATAGTATATTGGGGTAAAACTAGGATAAATTTGCCTCACTTGCTTCATTTTCATTATTTTTGATTCTCTTTTGCTCATCACACCTTCCATTCTGAAGACCTGTCTCAGTAGTCCTCAACCCTGATGTCTCCTTAGAATCACCTGGCCTCACCTTGGACCAATGGAATCAGAATGTGCCCCTGGGAATATTATGTGCTGCTGGGATTAAGTGGTTACTGGCCCCTTGCTCCTGGTAAGATGAGATCAAGTTGCACAGTTCCAGAAATCTCAAATAAAAAAGGTTTCCTAAGAAAGGTGTAGAAAGTGCAGGGCTTGGTGCTGGAAGTTTAGAATCCTACCTCTGCTACACATTAGACATGTGACCCGGCAAGCCGCAACACCTCTGTATTCTGGCTTCCTAACTTGTCAAATAAGCACAATAGAATCTTCTGTCTATCTCAAACTGCAGTGTAAGTTTAAAATGGAACACAGGTAAGACTTTTGAAAATGACACGTATAATTTGTTAGTGTCCTCATCAGAATCTAACAAACTCCTCCCTGTGCAACTTAACGGCTGTGGGGCCTTGCACTATTCATATTACTTTTGAATTCCACTTTCTTTATCTATAAAATGGACCTATCTATCCTGAAAATTGTACATTACTTCCCACTGTTAACAGCAAGGAAAACAATTGGAACTAAGAAACACAAGATGTTATATTATTTTATTTACTATGAGGGAGACCCAAAATACCCCAGAATTCATTTATTAAAAAATCGTGTATTTATTCTTACATGTTTAAACGTCAGTCACCTTCAAAGTACTCTCCGTTTGATGCAATACACCTATCGAGACACTTTTTCTACTGCTCGAACAGTTTTTGAACTCAACAACTTTGATGCCTTTTAGTGTTTTTGATGTTTTTGTTTGTTTCACCTCTTCCACATCAGCAAAATGTTCCCCTTTGAGGACATTTTTCAGCTGGGGTAACAAAAAAAAAGTCGCTTGTGGGGCAAGATTGGGTGAATAGGGAGGGTGGTGCATGGGGGTCATGCCGTTTTGGTAAAAAACTGCTGAACACTCAACATGGTGTGGGCAGGTATGTTGTCATGGTGGAAGAACCATTCAGCTGTCTGCCACAGCTCAGAATGCTTCTTACACAAATCATGATACAACCTTCTCAAAACTTCCAGATAAAAACTTTGGTTGACTATTTGATCTGGGAGAACACATTCTGAGTGTACTACAAGGGTCCTGCCCTCCAAAAGATAATTCTGTTTTCTGAGGGGTCTCCGCTTGTATTATTACTTGGTATTATTACTGCAAAGTGGCGGCTAGGCTCACACAAGTCTTTGACTTCAACCTACCACTGAATCTCATAGTCTCTCATGTTAGAAGATGCTGACAGCAATGTGGCAGGTACAACACTTCTACCTGGAAAGCTTTGAGACTTTAAACAATGAAACTGGCCCAACTTCCCATAGAACTAATGGTTATAGTTTTTCTGGATAAACATAGAAATTGACCCTCCTGGTCTTAAAGCTTGAAACTTACTTTTGACTTATCTGAGTTCCTTTCTCAGAAAACCGACCCTCAGGCTGATAGTATCAAGGAACTGAGACCCCACAACTCACCAGATCACCTCATCCAGACAATTAGATGTCAGATTTCTTCTATTTACCAACTTCTCTTCTTTATCATTCACTGATCCTGGTTTTCTACATTTCTGCCCTGCTATATAAACACCTGACTTCATTGGGACAGGGAGACAGATTTGAGATGGAATCTCCCATGCTCCTTGGCTGATATGATCCAAATAAAAAAACATTCTTCACTGGCAATACTCATTGTCTCAGTGATTGGGTTTCTGTGCAGTAAGCAACAGGATATCAACCAAACCCCTGGCATTTCAGTAACAACAAATTTCAGGGACTCTTTGGCTACCAACCAAAATACTGAGGTTGACAGATTCAATTGACTTTGCTGCCTGGGAGCTAACCCCTTAGCTTCCATTACTTGGACTTTCCTGACTGCTAGGTGTGTGACAGAAGATCAATACTGGCAAGAGATGAATGCGTGTAATCATCTAACAGAAATGGGTTGAAATCCTTTGGTGTGTGGTGTCATTGGGAAGATTGAAAAGTCTTGCCCATAAGCCAGTTCTGCTTCTTTCCACTGTCTTCATCTTTGCCCTCTGAATTACAGTATCTGGTTCCTTTGTCTAGACCCTTTATGTTTCCTAGCATTGGCAGTATATAGCCTTATATTGACCATATATTTCATGGTTATATGGTCAATTGCTGGGAAATCCAAGACTTAGAGTAGTAAACTTGAAAGTGGGAGGTGAAAGAAAAACCAGCACAGTTATTCCTGATTTTGGCTCTACTTATATTTATATTCTTACCTGTGCAAAGCAATACAAATTTATATTGTCAGTCAGTGACAGAGATTTTTCTTTCCTGAAGCGAATCTATGATTACTATGTTGTAACATATCCTGCACCACACAAAACAATAGATTTAGGATGTCAGGTTTCCGTGCACCAAATGGAACACGTCTTTTTAGAAAGCATGAACTGTCATGTCAAATGAGATGCTTAAATGTTTTCCCACTTACCTACTGATATGGTCCAAACAGCAATTATTTTCAGAAATGCCTTAGTTCTGGAGTTGAAGCGGCTATGGTGGATGGGATTCTGGATGGCAACGTAGCGATCCAGCGAGATGGCACAGAGGTGCATGATGGAAGCAGTGGAGAAGAGCACGTCCAGGTAAATCCAGACTGCGCAGAGCTTGCTAGGCAGAGGCCACCGGTAGCCTAGGATGCAGAAGGTTGGCATCAATAAGCAGCTTTGTACCTCTTGGGATGGGGGGAACCCCATCCTGTGACAGCAGTTTCCATCTCTGGGATGGGTACAAGCAGTGGCAAATGGCAACACAACATATTTTCAACATTTGGAAAAAGCCATCCTTAAACGATGGTAAGATCGTCCTGGCTAATGAATGCAGGCTTGAAATTTTTCATGTCTGGAATTATGTGAATGTGGTGTGGTGAACTTGGATTGCCCCTCTTTGAGGTTCTCTCTCTCCCCCTTCCATCTAGGAATACCTCTTTTTGAAAAAGTGACATGTCAAAAGTTGTGATGCGCTTTGGGCCGTTCTACTGGAGCACTTCTCGTACTGTGCTGTCATGATTTAGGCACATCTTTCTCTAGGTTGTAGGTCCCCAAGTTTAGTCCCACATCTTAGTCCTTCTTATAACTGTCCAGTCTCACACAGCAATGGCAACAAATGGCATCGGTGCAAATAACTAAATGGTTAAAACTACAGATTGGGAATATGTCTTCCTTTGTAAAAATGAAAAATAATTACTTAATGGTAGTTTGGGTGTGAAACTCAAATCTGGGGTATGTGGGGAAAAATTGAAGACAATGGCGAAGAGAAGTGAGGGTGCCCTTGCTTTGAGCTTTGTTTCAGTGTGGTAGTTCCCAAACTTTAGGGAGCATCGGACTCTACCAGAAGGCTTCCTAAAACATGCACTGCTGGACCCACCACTGGAGGCTCTCATAGTCCGGAGCAGGCCGGAGAACCTGCATTGCTAGTAAGCCTACAATATAGGTGATGCTGATGCTGCTCCTCCAGGGAACACCCTTTGAGAATGCTGCTTAGGGCAGTCATTCTCACCCTAGCACATCACCATTGGCTGTAGAGCTCTAGAGAGGGTCCTGATGCCCAGTCCAAACCTAGCCCACCTACATCTATCTCTGGAGGGTGAGCGAGCAAAAGTGGGCTTCAGATGTTGAAGTGTTTTTAAAGCTCCCCCAGAAGATTTCAGTCTAGGAAGCACTGCAGGTCACCTGTTATATCAGGCAGATAGATGGACATAAGCAAAATGTCCCGGTTTTGTTTTTGGAGAGGGATCCAACGGTTATGTAAACCTTAATTCGTTTTGCTAACAGTATAAACAGTGGTGTTAGAACTGCCTGTGTGGGAAACGAAAAAAATTTTAAAGATCGCTTTTCCTGTTACAGACCCACAAAGACGAACAAACTCTCCAAACACAAACGTACTCTACCAGAATGCCAACAGGGATGCTGAGACGAGCAAAGGGTGCAGATACAAGCCTAATTCAGAGCCTTTCATTGGCATTATTTGCAAAGAGCTTGAGCTAAAACGAAAGCCTTTTCTTTACCAGCGCGCAAGAGAGGGGAAGTCACGCTCTGCCTGTTCGGAACTGATGTTCGCCCCTGCAAGGCGGGGATAAGGAGGGAGCATTTCCTGGTGGGAGAAGGCTCGGCGCCCCGCAGACTGGGGGAGGCTGGGACCAGCCCCGGGAGGGGCGGGGCTCCGGCCGGGAACGGGCTGCGCGCGCAGCGGCCGACGCCAGGGGGCGCCCTTGCACACCGAGCGGGTGTCGCCGGGGTCATTCCCGCCCTCCTGCGGCGGTTTCGGTGGTCTGGGCTTCTGTTCGGTCAACCCCGCCCCTCCTTCCTCACCCCGCATTGGCGTTTGCCTCCGAGAAGGAGGGGGTTTAGGAAACGCGAATCACTCCTGCACGTCTGGGAAATGACAGGCGAATGTAATGAAATCATTTCGGCGTGGCACTTAAATGGTCAAGCGAGGGCTGGACTTGCATGAGCTTTACCGACCCTGTTCCAACCGGTGCCTGCTCTCCCTTGCACCTCCCTCCTCCTTCACACTCTTCAGAACTGGGTCTGAGACTGTGTCAGCAGTCTCAGTGTTCTCTCTCTTTTTAAAGGAGAAACCTGGCAGTATTACTCATAATTTGGAAAGAATATCACATTCTGCTCCCTGCTGAAGCCACCCCAGTGTTTGCTGACTTGCTGAGAGGTTTGACTATTTCAAACTCTGTTGAGAAGAAAGCAAGATTAATCTCTTCCCATTTGTTTCCCACCCTCCTCCAAACCAGACTGGAGGAGTTTATGCATATGCATTTTTAAAGAGTTGAGGGTGTAATTCAAAGGCACATTTCCAAATTAGCTTCTCTGGGCAGGGAACAATTAAAACTGGAGTAATTCATTTATTCTAATGGAGACTGAATATTTTAACATAAAGCCCACTGCACCACTAATGTTCTCCCTGCAAATGTTCCAAGGTAATTGGGAAGGTTTTGCCACTCCATTAAAAGTGCTGAAAACTGTGTGACCAAGATAAAACTGTTCTGAAGGCTGGATTATTTGGTTGGGAATATAAAGGAGTGAACAGCAAGTGGATTCAGAACGACGGGTAAGTTATTGCTTTATGACAGTACTGGGTTATTTATAATCATTTCTACAATAAAATGTTCATGTTTTAAAGCACAAAACTCTCCAGTGGTCAAGACAATAGGTTGTCTGATGTTTATGTGAAATCCCATATTAGGAGTGAAATTTAAGAAACTAGCATAACACGGTGGACACTAGTCTATAAACAATGCCTTCTATTTACAGTTTGTCCCCTGAGCCCCGGCTCATCTGCTGATGGCATGCACATGCTCTTTATTACCAGTGTAGGTACAGCTGGGAGACTAATGCCACTCACCATAGAGGATGGTTAACATGGACACGGGCATGACAAGGAAACCCAGCAGCATATCAGCTATGGCAAGTGACATCAGGAAATAGTTGGTGGCATTCTGCAGCTTTTTCTCTAGGGACACTGCCATGATGACGAGTATGTTTCCAGCAATGGTTAGAATAATCACTACAGCTGTCAATAAAGCAGACCAGTTTTTTTCCTGGAGATGAAGCAAGGAGAAACATGGTGGTGAGAGGCACCCTTCACAGGAAAGGTTGGTTCGATTTTCAGAGTCAACTGTCCAGTTAAATGCATCAGAAGTGTTAGCTTCTCCGGAGTTAAAGTCATTATTGCAGAGCCTGGTGTCCTCATTTAATTGCATTAAGGAGTTTGTAGTTGAGCTCAAAGAAGTATTTTCTTTACAAAGAATATCCATTTCTAAGCAGGAACTTGTGGCAGATGAGGTGTAGAAGGACTAACAAGTGACAGCCTCTGCTCACCATTCACCTTTATGTCCCCACACTCCGTCATACCCGGGCTGATGTGCACGCTGGTCTCCTCTGGCTGGCTTTTGGTCTCCCATGATTACAATGATAGTTAAAGAACTGAACTATGATGGCTCTTGATGTTTCCTTCCTTTGCAATTTTAGGAGAGTCCACTGTTTGGCTATATTTTATTTTTCGTCAAAGCAAGGGCAAAAGAGCAGAATGAATTTTTAACATAGAGGTTGCAGAGTTTTGGGTATTCGGGGAGACAAATGCGGTCCTGGTCAAAGAAGAAAAGTTTTGTAACTACTGGGAACCTTGTTTAACTAGATCTCTTTCTGTTGGTTATGCCGATCACACTAGTTTACCAACAGCAATATTCAAACAGCATGCAATCCAGAACAGCAGGATGTATGCATTCTACATTAAGAAAGTCAATTAAAAACACATCCAGTGTTAATCCCATAGTAATTGGATGTACTTGGGGTTACAGTCCTTAGGCAGTCTGAGGTTGAATTGCCACAGCTGCCGTCAGGAATTTCAGCTGGTATTATGTTGCTTAGTCAATTAAAAAAGGAAAAAAAAAAAAAGCCTTAAATAAAGATTAGCAGAAAACTTTCCACACTAGAATTTCCACACTAGAAATTCTCATTGAAATGGTTACATTTCACATCAAACATAATTTCAAGCCAGCAAGAAAATTACACAGCAATATAATATAGCAGCATGAGAACTTACATTTGTCTTCGGGGTCCACACACGAAATACCCTTGTTATTCTGTGACTTGCTGCATTTCTTATAGTAATTAAGCTGGTGTAGAGTCCCCGCTCCTTCAGCTTCCACCAGCATAATATGATAGTAATTTGATTTCTGTTTTGCTGACTTCAAAAACTGCATGCAAGAGGCGAGCCAGCTCCAGCACTGCGAGGATCGCGTTGGCTTCCTCTGGCACCGCTCAGCTGGGATCCTCCCTCCCTGTGCGGCTCCTCTAGGCAGACGCACACGTTCAGAAATCATTCACGAGCCCCTCAAAGTCATACAAAAGAACCACATGGGAAAGTAGGAAGTGCCGTCAGCACCAAGGGACTCCTGTTTTCCACGGGAATGGAGTAGCTTTCTGGCTGCCTCATTCACTTCATCAGACCTTCCTCTCTCTGTATGTCATAAACTGCAAGGTAGCAACTGGGGGGCGGAGAGGGGGAACCAAATAGGCTTTTTCTCTCTCTTTTTGCTACATGTTGACATCGGGAAGTTTTCCTCTGCTTTCAAGAGAGAAACTGGAGAAACAACCTTTCGTGCAGATTCCTGATAGGGTAGGTAAGCTGCACTGTGATGATTTTTTAGACTGAAAGGTGAAAAGTGAAGAGAGAGCATAAATAAAGCTAGAAAACAGTGTGTCCTGGGTATGCGGTAAGCTTACGGTCGCGCTTCCATTCAAAGCCACAGCGTTTGTACCCAGAGTGGAATTACTCACATTGGCCACATGGGCTCAGAGTGGGCTTGCAAATCTGTGGCGATAACTGGTAAACTCTTAGTACTAGTTTTATTTGTTAAATACATCATCCAACTAGCTTATTTTCATTAGCAGAAATATGCCACCCAGTTGCAATTCAAAACCTCACATGTGATAGGGAATAAGTTGGTTTTACAGAACCGACTTTTTTTTTTTTTTCCGGAAGTAACGACAACCTGCCTTACTTGTAAAGGAAGCCCCTTTTCAAGTAGGTTTCTAAGAAGGCAGATTCATCTGTTTATTTTTATAGATAAGAAAATGTATTCTTTTCTGAATAGTTGGGATTTTCTAAGTTTCCATTCATCGCCTTCTTTTTATTCTGCCTAGACAAATCCAACCACTCTTGTGCCTTCAGCATGCTGTTTGTGGTCAAACCTGTACTTTATAGCCGATTATTTCCCTGAGTTCCAGACCTAAATGTCCAGCTGCCCCTTGGCTTTTAGCATTGTAGCCTAGGAGACCTTGGCCTCAGCATATTCTTGCATTCTCCCATCCCCTGCCCAAATCTCTGTGCTTGTCTCCATTCATTCTCTTGCTTAAGGGAATCGCCACCTCTTCAGACAGCTGGCTGTTGTCCACGACTCTTCCTTCTTTCTCATTGCCAAATCTTTCTGAGTCAGTGGTGCCTCCTCTGTATATCTATTTCCCACCTCCCCTCTACCCCAGCTCACAGCTAGGGCTTCTGTGGTTGAGGGCGGGACCATCCATCTCCTGGGCTGGTGCGTTAGTGCCCTTCTCGCTGTTCTGCCTGCCACCTTCCTGCCCTCCGCATCAAATGCATATGCCAGGAAGCAGGCAGCTGAGGACACAGGCTCTGGAGTGGCAGTCCCTTGGTTTTGAATCCCAGTTCTATTACTAATAAACAGTAGGACCTCAAACCATCTAGTTGCTCTTTAAAGCTCAATCTTCTCACTTGTAAAATGGGATAATAGTAGAACTGTCCTCATAAGACTGTAGTGAAGCTAATGAGATAATGCATATAAATATTTAGCCTGTGTCTAGCTTATAGGATGCTCTCAAGGAATGCCAGTCATTTTCATTCTTATTAGTGTTCTTATTGGTAGTATTCAACAACAGAATTGGCATCGCTCTCATGCCTACATTCCTGCATCCCTTCCTTGTGGAGCACGTGACTGTTTTGTTTGTTTGCCTCTCCGCCAGGCCTAGACTCTGGCTATTCTTCCACAAGCAGCCTATGTGCAGACTGAACTTGCATGTTTCTAACCACTTTTATGTCTTTATACTTGTACTTCCTTTTGTCTGGAGTGCTCTCATCACTTATTTTTGTTTGTTTGTTTCCATCTGGTGAATTCCTACTCAGTTTTCCAGTCTCAGTTTCGAAGGTATCTTCCCTGAATCCCAGGCTCACCATTTACCAGCTGTGTGACCTTGATTAAGCTTCTTACTCTCTCTGTGCTTTAAATAGGGAATATTAATAATAATACTTCAGAGGGTTGATTTGAAAGTGAAGTAAATTTACCTAGGTGCCTGACACTTTTAAGCACTCAACAATGGTTAGTTGGTATTGTTCTTATCATTAAGCTTACTCTTACTTTCTGTGACCCTTCTTCCTCAGTGGAGGAAAAGACTATAGCATCTTCTGCAGTCTTCTGTATTGACATTCATCTCAATGCATGTAAGCCCCATAAAGGCAAGAACTGTGTCCACCTTGTTCACAGTTGGGCACATAGTGGTGCTTAGATATATTTGTTAGAATGAATGTGTGACTGATTTATGATTATCTGCGTATATGTCTGTCTTTGCTATTAGATGGTGAACTTCTTATTTGTGTCTAAACCTTTAATACCAGGTGTGGTGTCTCATAATAAAAAGTCCTCAGTAGATGTGTTTTGATCAAATTGATTATTAGCATAAATTAAGATGAATTAATTGTTAGCATGTATTAAAAAGGAGAATCAGGGAGAAACCTAGAACCTCTAACCTTTATTTATTCATTGGGATACTAATTTAATTTATTAGAGAGGGCAAAGGAAAATATGATTTTAAAAAGTACTCCAATGTTATAAAGCCACTCGAAAGCTTTTTGATGTCAGATTTTCTGAATTTTCTTGTTATAACTCGTTTTAGAGAATTCTGATGTTCTCAGGCCATTATTCCTAAGAACTGCTAGCCTTCTAGTCATGCCAAAACCAGTCAACGAGTTTCTTGTTCTGTGCTTTACACTGCAAAATAAATTTGTTAGTAATCATCTAAGATTATTTGCAGTTTTTATTGCAAATAATATTTTATGAATACTTATATTTTATAAATACTTGTTATGAACAAAGCAACATGGACACAATCTAGGCCCCTGGCTACTGATTCTTCCACAGAACCTGTCTGTTAATTGCATGAAAGTTAGATTAGGTAGGAATGATTTCTTGCCGGTCAGTCACCCCTTTTGAGTTTGGTGAAACAGGAGTGTGTATTGGCTGCTGCAGTGGGTGTTGTCATGTGCTTCCACTTCAGGACTGAGACACTTAGTTTCCCTGTTGCTAGAAGTGTTGGTGGTGGTTCTTGTCAATTATTTCTGTGAAAATTACCTTCAGCCAAAAGGCCTACTTGTCTATGATCTTGGCCCCTCCCTGGAGCATCCGTCATGCAATGTAGTGAGGATATAAAGGCTTAGTTTTCTTGCTTGAAGAATGGATGACCCTTAAAGGTCACCCTGGTTCCAGATTCCCCCATGGGATCTGCTGAGGCCTTTACTGTGACTCCCTTTGCCCAGTCTTGCTTTTCTTGCTCCCTTGCAGGTGTTGATCTGAAAACTCTCCCCAGTACATCTTCTATGTACATGTCTGTCTCAGGGTCAGTTTCCTAGGGAACCTGACCTAAAACTTACCTTTTTTAGCTTGTGTTTTAATGCCATAATACTACCTCTGGATGAGTTGGATGTCTTTCAGAGAACAGAAAGATAAGTGTCATCTATATGTTGATGAATGCTTCCTTGCTACAAGCTTGGAGTTCTTCAACGCATGACTGGCTTTGCTATCTAATCGTGACAGGAGGAATTTAAGGTCAACAGCTCCAAAACTAAATTTATTATTTTGGGCAGAATGCCTCTAGTATCTAATGGGACCTTATGTAGGAGCACATTTTACAACTAGTTTATTCTGAAGAGTTCACCAGAAAGTGATTGATTAAAATTACATGTAAATTTTTTTAGTGATTGCAATGCTATTTGTATCCCTTGCTTGAATTTCTTTTTGGGCTAAAGTTGTTAGGTTTCTGAAACATTAGTGCCTTATAGATGTTAATCTATGTGAGAGTAAAAAAGTTCCTTGAGCAATCAAATCTGGAATATATTGTATCCTACAGCCTCCTCTTAGAAATATACAGTGCACATTAGCATATTAAAGCCTGTGAGAGATCCTGCAGTAAAGAAATTTGTTTATATTTATCTCCTACCCACCATCTTCCAGAACACTCATCGTAGGACTCTTTTATTTTGTTTAAATTGAGTTATATCTTGCATTCGTTAAAATGTAAAGCTCTTAAGTATACAGTTTAATGAGTTTTGACAAACATATACAATCATACAACCAGCACCCAAATCAAGATATCAAGATAGCTACCATTTTTGAAAGTTTGCTCATGCCCTTTTTTGACCTTTGCTTAAATGGAATCATGTAGCAGAGACTTGTTTTACGTCTGGCTTCTTTCTCTCCATTGTATGTCTGTGAGATTCATCCACGTTTTTCTTTTTTTCTTTTTTTTTTTTTATGAATTGTGGACTGAGAGACTGTGAAATGTCCTGGACAATCAACAGTTTTTTTTTCCCCCTTGTGCAAAGAAACGTAGATTAGATTCTTCTTATGTCTGTCCTTTTTAAACTTCTTAATTTTTCAAAACAGTGTCAACCTTAACCTGCACTCAATTGATTACACCTGATTTTATTCTGATTTTGGCAGCATAGAACTATTTTACTCTGTAACCTTTAAGAATATGTCCCTAATCTTTAAGAATAAGATTTCTGCTACCCAAATATTACCAATGGCATGAAAATGAGAAAAAATATTTACAGAGAATTTCCTAAATGACATTTAATTTGTTATTTTCTTTGGGTGTTCCAATTCTAGGTTTGGAATAAGTCAGAGCACCTGACTCCTGTATACCTGGAAAACAATGTCTTCAACTGCCTTCTGTAATGCTGTTAGTTTGTATCAAAAGAAACAACTTCTTGAAATTAGCTAATGACTGTCATCTATCTTCTTAATTTTCTCACAGTAGTGTCTAGTTGAACATTATTCATTAATTTAATAGATGATTATTAAGTGCTGTATTGAGCACTATTTTAGGGGCATGTATAATCACAAAGATGGACATCATTACTGCCTTAATTCATTCATTCAGGAAGTAGTTGGCAGTGATGTAATATAGTTTTTAAGGAAGAGATAGAAATAGTCAATGGTACATCGATGGCATTTAAAGTATGATACTGGGTGAGATACTCTAAGAGAGTGAATAGAGAAAAAGAAGGGAAAAGACCTGAGGACTGATCTGTGGATTACACCAATATTTTGGGTCAAGGTGGTATGGGAGAACCAGTCAAGTAGATTGAGAAGGAACACCCAGTAAGTAAGGAAGAACACAAAGAGGAAGTGGTATCCAGGTCAGATGAAAGGAAAA